GAAAGACAAAAGACATTAGTTTGAAGACCTCTCAATTCTTCTTTTCAGGTTCAGCTGACACTGATGGTCCATCAAGATTTTGAACTACATGATACTGTGGGAAAATGAAGTATAAGAACATAAAAGTAGGGAAATACATTTTAACCTTATATGAAATATTGTTGGCTGAATATCATTTGTTGTAGGTGCAGTATAGGGAAGAAAGAACTTAGCAGACCATTTACCAAGTGGTATCTTGCAGGAAACAGTCAAGTAGTGTGGGCTGGAGGCAAAAACACAGGATAATGGATGCTGAAGAGGATTATAGTCTTCTGGAGATAAATTTAAAGGCTAGTACTTCACACTCCCACATCTAAAGAGGTGAAATTCCTTTGCCAGAGAAAAAGGATCATCATATGTATATATGACATTTGTTCCAGGAAACAAAACCAAAGAAAAGATTAGCATGTTGAGCATGTTGGATAAAGAGAAGAAAAAAGGAGTTAATCACAGAAAAAAATGTACAGTACAGTAGAAACCCTGAGAGACAGAAAAACAAACAAACAAACAACACTGAAATAAGTACAGTAATTGATATGTAAGTATGGGTAACAATTTTGAAAACAGCACACTGTAAGATGAGAGAATTGTAAATTTTGACGTGCATGGAGTAGTATCCTGCCAGTGACCAACAGGGGAATGATCAAAATTGTGCCTTATATGCCTTATATGAAATGCACTTATTACAATATGTAGAATAGGTATGAATGAGAATGAATATCTTCACATTGTAAGTGATGTATTTGAACAATTTAGATTATATCTTTGTCAGAAATACATGTATCTTTGACAACTAAAAGGTTCTGTCCAATGGAGCCAACTATACTACTCTCCAACTGAAATGTTGGAATCCATATATTTTGCTTGTGCAAAGCAAGACTCTTCTCAAATGCTTGTAAATTTAAGTTCTTGGACACGCTGTACCTAATTGCACGGGCCCAGGGCTAATCTGCAATTTAGCACTGGCTTGATCAGAAGTAACACTTATTGCAAGATGATGAAAACTCATTTGTGCTGTATTAATAATTTTCAGCAGGAGTGATTAGACACATTTTGCAATTAATATTATTTTTTCATTGAAAAATTTGTCATGCTTTTTGTAAGTAATTTTAGAATAAAATAAATGTTAATTGAATTCTACATGCTGCTGACACCCCCAGGAATCTAGGGCCTCTGATTTTGCATTGCATTGTGCTCTATACCACTAAACTAAAGCTAAGTGGTAAAGGGCTATTATTTGTATTTACAACAATTTACTATACTTTTTATTGCTTTCTCTACCCTCTATGCTTCAATTTTGCAGTAAAATAGGCACCAGTAGTCATACTCAACTCCCCACTCTTCTACCTCAGTTGTGGCCTTTGAGATAGGAAAGCCTAGTAGCCTGGGCCATTCCTCAGCCACACTCCCAATTCATTTTTTTTTTTACTGGGAAAAAGGTGTCTTACACTGAACATGATCTGCATTTGATATTAGAGAATGCAACCAGGCTTCAACTAGGAGTAGATGAATATATAGCACAGCAACACTCTCTTATACCTACTGCGGATAGGCTGATATCAATAGTTAAGGGTTTTAAATCTTGTCAGGACAACAGGCTTGGGGACAGGACCTGGTCCAAAATCCAGATTATGAATGACACTATGGCTACACCTCCCTGAGGAGGAGACAACCCATGGCCACTAAGACTAACACGACTCCAAACATGAACCCCTTCATCATAAAGAAGGACTTAGATGGTCAAGTGAAAAACAATTTTGTTTTGTATGAAAATTGTGAGATGGTAGTCCCTTTGCAAAAGTGCAATTCAGTTCCCTTCCAGATTCAAGATTAAAGTAAGCTGATGCAGATTCATTACCTCATTAGGGAAAGTAGCTATCTTTGAGCAAGCTTCTTAGCCTCATCCTATGCTTCTGATATAATAGCCCTCTAAGGAAGTTGTTTTGCCAAAGGAACAATCATTTGTTGGAAGAACCAAGTGGGGAGAGGTGGAAGAAGCATCGCCATTTATGCCTACCAAAGCCTCCTTTTCAGTGATGGGACATTAATTCTACCATTTGCTTATAGTTACCAGTTGCCTTGCCTAATTGCTTACACAAAGACACGGAACAAATTGTTGTACATAATGCTTGTTTGCATGTGTTGTTGAGCTAGATTCTACTCATATCAAGCATCTTGAGATGATGTCATGAGTAGTTCTCCTCCAACACAGATCTTAGAGGGAGGAGAGAATGGGTTTACTTTGCTTTGTCATTAGCACTGGAGGACTAGAATATTATGCCCCATCCACGAGATTGAACAGTGCCTGGTGGACTGTGTTGTCATACACACAGAGGGTGCAGGCATCTGGCAGGCTTGTCTACCCATAACTGGTAATAAAGTTAGTAAAAGCAGTGCTTCATTGTGTGGACAGGGGCTTTATGGTTCTGGCAAAAGGGAGCAGAGTCACACTGACAGGTATGTTTTGGTTACGGTATAGATTTCCCAATCATGTACCTTTTTTGTGCTGTGGGAAATCACCGTTTCACCATCATGGATACTTGGCTTCCAATGCCCAAGGTCATGGTGTCAGAGTGGACATATGCCAGTGGTTTACAAATATTTTTGTAAAATATCAATTTTATTCATATGCCGATGGATCCAGCCCATGCCCATTTTTGCTGTGGAGGCAGGGAGTTAGGAGATGGAGGTTGGGACCCAATGTTGGGAATCACTCCTGCCTTGAGCCTAAGCCCTCAACTCAACTAATTTTGCATGGTCTTCACTCCTTCCCTTTTCGTTTTCTTCTCTCCTAAAATTTCTTGAACTATACAATTGCTAAAGTATGAGAGTAATGTTGAAAGGATGAAAGCTAACTTTGTGCCAGTCAGGAACGGAATGAGGGAGCCATTGGCACCGTATTCCCATTTTCGTTTAGCCCTTACACCCTCAAAGGGACTCTGAGGGGTGGACTATTTCTCTTCCCAACATATCCTAGGTTTACCATGGCCAGTAATGAAGACTTTGTACCAATAATAGGGCCATTAAGGCTTACCCCTTTATCAAATTGTATCACTGATTTCAGTTCTGGTTCCCCGATCCCTGGCTCACCTTTAACCATGACTCTGAACACTGCTATTACTTGCCCTTCCTCAATACTTGCTATCACATCAATCCAGTCCAAATCATCCATACAGGTCAATATTCAACCTCTAGGAGACATTCCTCCTCTCCCAACATCCACTACTTCATCCTTTCCACCCCCACAACTTTCTCCATCAACTAGCCTACCCCTTCTTACCACTGCAAATTTATTGTCCACCACTTCGCAGTATTATCTCTCACAACACTACTCCCTCTTCAACACGTTCCCATCCTACTACCCCCTCCTCTACAACTATCTGGAATACTCTCTTTAGCCCAGCCAAATGCCTCCAAAGATAAGTAGGCAAAGTTTCCTTCCGAAGCCGCCCCGATCATTCCCAGTTTGCCAGAGTCACATCCGAATCCCAAGCTATAGCATTATCAACCCTGACTTCACTGGCGAACCCAATCCTGCCCAATCTTATCCCACCCTCAATATTTGTACCGGAACTGTCTCCATCTCCCCAACAAACTGCCCTGTCTACAAGGATTGGTCAGACTGTGTAGAAGGCTTAATCACCTGCCACCTAGACTATGATGCAATATCAATACAGTGCTACACTATTCCCCATGTGGGCCGTCATTTTTCCCTATCAATATTACCAAAATTATTTTCCATAGACATGACCTCCCCTTTAATGTTTACATTGGCATAGAGTCCCTTCCTCTCTGACCATATCACCTTCCCCTCTGTCAGTGTCAGAATTGTTGGCGAATAGGCCGTTCTGCGAAAATTATTTTCCATAGACATGACCTCCCTTTTAATGTTTACATTGGCATAGAGTCCCTTCCTCTCTGACCATATCACCTTCCCCTCTGTCAGTGTCAGAATTGTTGGCGAATAGGCCGTCCTGCCAAACACTCTCTGTGCCCAACCTGGTGTGCCAACTGTGGCGGATCCCATAATGTAATTTACATACAAGTTTTAACATTAAGTAGTAAGTCTCAGATTCAAACTTGACTTCACTTTCCGCGAAGCCAGACAGGAAGCACATCGACGAGGTTTCTCTCTCACTCCCTACTCCAATAATTGCTCTGCCCTCTCTCCATCAACCTCTCCCTCCACCCCTCAGACATCTGTCCCCTCCCCCCCCATAAGAAAACCTTTGTTTCTCAGACCTTCCCAACCGACTCCATTGCAGAAACTCTCAAAGACATTCAAACTATCTAATTATGAGCCAAGATAACATGCCCACACCTAATCCATCCTCCAATCTTTCTTCTCCCTTTCCTTCTACACTCAAAGTAACAGCCTCCTCCTCCTACCCACGTTCTCCCTACACCCAGGGCCGCCGAGAGCTAGACCGGGCCCCGGGGCAACTAAAAGATGTGGGCCCCCTTTTTATTGTTATTTTTAATTTTCAGACATGAGATTATAGGTTATTTCCAGTGGATTGTCAAAAACGGAAAATATTTAATGTTAAATGCTGAGAAGTTACAAAATGTTTCAAATGTATTTACTAAAATGTAAAAACTTAAATTCAAAATTTAAATTAAAATGATCAAAATGTATTCACTTTGCGAGCCTTTTTAGTGCAAAGGCGTTAATTACATTACTCAAGTCAACCTTGCGCGTTAGGTCGCTCTCTATTCCTAGAAAGTCATTCAATCGGTCTTGTGTCATTATGCTTCGTAAGAAGTTTTTGATGAGATTGAGTTTGCTGAAGCAACGGTAACTGGCGACGTACAAAATATCCTCAGGGCAATGCACAAATTTGCGAATATCTCAGCAAGCTTGAACTTGCTGATTTTTTCAAGAGGCTGAATGGGGTTAATGATTCGTCTCCAAAGTTTGCGGCATGGATCGCTTTGAGATGTACCATTTCTTCTATCAACTC